AATGAAAGGTGACTCAACGGGGAGAGGCGCTTTCCTAGTCGCGATCCTCGGACCAGTTCGCGGCATAACCAGTATCTAATGACCGGTATCTACTGCCCACTTCGTTCCTCTGGATCAATATCGCATCGGACAGTGATGAAAATGAACTAACAAAAGGAACGGGACGGGTGAAAGAAAGTACAACATGCCCCTTCAAACCGAACAGCGCCTAATTGCCTAATACTAAAATAGCAACTTGTAAATGGCAACTTGTAAATAGACTTAAAGTCATTGTCTGCCCATCTACTTAGGCACAATTCTATTATCGAAACTTCGTGAGTCAGGTTCGCTTCAATGTATGAATGGGAGTGATGAAGCTGGTCAAGATGGAGCAGCTCTTGTAGGATAAGCCACGCACGCGCCTTCAACACAATATCGTGGAGACCGCCGCATGGGTACGAAATATTAAGCGTATGGGGCCAAATCGAAGCCGAAGTTTTTCCATCTAATACAAGTGTTGGCAGCAGGTTGGCTGGGGATTTTCTGATCCACGAACTTTGCAACAAGTGATAGGGGCGTAAATAAGCAACCTCTACTTCGAAGAAATATGGTGGAGAAAGGAAAAGAAAAACGTTCGGCTTGGAGGGGACATTTTGCACTTTCGCTAGCCTTTCTTGTTGAGCGAAATGCGGAATGGCGCGGGGAGCTATTTTGAAGAAATAGCCGTTTTCCACAGGTAAGCTTGTAGAAGTTTAGCCATTTAAGTACCATTCAGTGCCCCTACCAAGCCGAACTGCGCTAAGAAAAACTTCTTACCTCGATGATCTGCTCGTCTGTGGCCTGCATGATGTTTTGAAAGGCCTTGTCAATAAAAGACTGGTATTTGGAGGTTTTTGTCTTCAGCGTGTGCATCATCAGCACTTGCTCGGTATTCGAGTGCTTCGTGATAGGACCGCCATTGACCACGGAGTCTTGCTGCAAGAGGAGAAATTACTGTATATATAATAGTAAAATGACTACTCTAAAGGTTTCAAACTCCTGAAATACTCTTTCCCCACCCATTTTCAAGTTGTGGTCTTCCGGAGCATCTGACTCGGAACAATTAGTGCTGACGGTGATACGGTAAAGAAGTCTGCGAGTCGCAGACGGGTAGTGCATCGTAGACACACGGGCGTGGCGCCGCGGCTTAGCACCCCCGTACAGTAAACTGTCACTCGTACTGCGGGGGCGGTATTACCGCAGGGATCAGGATGGTGTGACGTAAGCAAACGAAAAATCTACGCAGCAAAACGAGCAGCGATGGCTTTGTGAAGTGGGCTGGTTTACGCCAATCCGAATACGTCATAGAAAGCCATTGCAAAGGGATTTGGCGATTACTGTCCAGGCCGTGAATGTGGCGAGGCTAATCGGACATTGTTTGCTGTTGGAGGCCGAAAATCCCTAAAAAATACTTCCTTTATACTACAGCGAAGGCGTAATAAGACCCCGGTGAAGTGAAGAGCGATCTCGAGATGTTATTTCGCCTCATGAATTCGTTCGTATTTCTTCACTGAGCTTTCATTGAGCTACCCCTACCTAATACTATTAGTTTACGACAAGTAGTATTCAAGCTTTTGAGCACGCCGTCCACGTTGGTGGTATGGGCGGAGACAGACCTACAATGGTGCCTTTTTCATTGCTGCAGTCCTCTTTTCTGCGATGGTGAAGAGGAGTGCTTCAATGAGAAATGTTTGAAAGGTCTGCCCCTACCCATACGATCATTGTGGACTGGGCCGTCAACTAAAATCGGAACGTTTGCAATATGCGCCATGCATTCCACATATCCGCTCAGAATTCGCAGTGGCCTGAAGTTGCTCTTCGATAAAGCCAAACATGCCTGAGAAAACCCATTGTTTAAAATCAAAGACGGAGTCTAAATTGTGGCGAGGTCTTACCTTCTTATGCCCGCCCCGCGCTGTTATCGGACAGCGGGTCGAGGAGCGCATTTTGTACTATTACTGCCTTCCTTAGTTCCGGCCGGCTTACAAATCTCACTCTAGTGAAACTTTTGAACCCTCGTGAAGGAGGAGCAAGGTCGTCGAGCTACTTTCCTAAAACGTGTAAACTCGAGAGCGGCCCACCTAGGTGCTGACCTAGGAGGAAAGGCAAAAATGCCCCTCCCCGTTCGATAAAACTTGCGGCCTTCCGCCCCTTTCCCAAGAAGGATGAAACTCTTGCTATTGTCAGTCTCCTTTTGGGATGCGGCAGGCATTCTACTCCATTCAGAATCGTAGTGACACAGTGGATGTGATATGGCCTATGCAAAGACTTGTGACTTGGGAGTGGGAGCTAACCAGGTGAAGGTTAGTGCTTTTATCCTCTCGAACGAACATGCCACGTTGCACTCCAAGGAGGTTAGAGGGCCCGGTGAGCTTGAGCGATAGGCTATCCGTGATTTCACCCCGTTGATGGATGCGTCAACGTATGCTAATTCTCACCTACACCACATTTCGCCTTGTCGCCTGCTGAATCAAGGTCGCGAGTAGGTGGTAGCAAGAACGCGAGGTGAGGGAAGCAAGTCATGGGGAATTACAGTTCTTCATCACTTGACCGGTGGGGCGCGTGTCAGTGCGGCTGCGTTTGGCGCGGTGCCAAAGTCGTTCTGCACCAGTTGTTGAAGCGGGCAAGTGACATTACTGTATTATATCCTTCGTATTACTCGTTTTCTACCACTTTTTGTCGCATACGCGTTTCAACAAAAAGGCTGAGAACGGCTTCAACAGCTGTGCACACTCATACTAAGCTGACACGCCACCGCCGTCCGCAATGATTGAGGATTGTGTTTGCGTTCTGCACTCGCGCTGTTGTGTATACAGGCATACTTCATCGGATTTTATCTTGAGCTAAAGTCCTCCGTCTAGGTTCGAACAAAGTAATTTTGGTATAGCCGACTCAAGAAGGGGCAAAAAAAAAACACGCCGACTTGTAGGACAGATTTTATGCCGCCGAAGTTGGTCCTGTACAAGGTATCATGATACGATAGGATTTGATGGCATTTTCTGTGACTAGTCATCAGCGGGGTACAGCATCGTGATGTATGAAATGGTGCCGTAGGTACGACCTCCTTCCAAGAGAGGGTGTCAGAACGACCCCCAAGGAGGCGTCTCGGTAGCACACCTACCTACCAATTCCCCACATTTTCCAGTTTTTCACCCCAAAATTCTCATTCGAGCGGAGTGGGAGGGACATATCGCACTTTTGCTAAATCCCGTCGCCATGTCGACGATTGTCAACTGGGAAAAACCTGTGAAAACTTTGCTGAACACAGAGATAATACTAACCGAAGCTTTTGAAGGAACCACTGGTCAGCTGTAAGGAGAGGTAACTGTCCAATTCCTGGTAAATGAATTTCCCCTAGTTCATGAACTTACAAGAGCTGACAAGCGTTAATCAGCAGTGAGACTTGTGAACGAACTACTGTTGAAACCGCCCGGAAGTGCAAAATCCCCCCCCCCCTCCGCTCATCGGCAGCCTGCCAGATTTTTTTTTCTGAAAACTAGCTGATCAAGAATTCAGCGTTTCACATACCATAATCAGGACTGGTAGAGATTCTCAAAATGGTAAGCCAGTGATCAGGGAATAAACCACAGTGAGACGAGACAGGCATTAAACCGTCTGGGACAAATTAATATACTGTACAGACTTTATGACCGTACGTGCACCACAGAGAATTACGTGATTTCCATATTGCGAGCATTTCGCGGAGATGTCGTGCCACAGCCGCAGGTGTCGACTGACCGCTTTGAGCAGACATTCATGCAATGGAGTTTACTGCTAACTTCGAATCTTCTCGCACGAAAATGGACATTGGTGCCTCTCTATGGCTCAGGGCTCTAGAAGCGTTCTTCACCCACGAACAGAGTCCTAAATTGAACGGGATGACTTGATGACAATTTCTTTGGCTGACTGCGTGACTTTCTGCCATTTATACCAATTTATGAGTTACTAGACGTTACACGAACTACGTGACTTTTGCTACCAGTCTCTCATTTTCGAGTTATTCACGTCAGCAGGCTGACAAGAACTAATTTTTCTTAGGAGCTCCATTTTTTTTTCAAGTAAAGAGCGTTGCTTAGCGCTAACTGCCAAGGAAACGACTGGAATCTGAGCGTCTACACTCACACATGAGGGCTATTAGGGCCATCATCAAGGTCAGATTATGTCGCCATGGCGAATCCAAGCAGTGGTGAGGATCGTGTGTCGTTATATGTATAGGGTTCGATTTTGCGTTACGAGCAGAAATTTCGGGTCCGCCGGAATAATTTTCACAGGTTGTTGAATTTCGGCCGTTTTTCCTTTTCACACTGCTTCGATACACCACCCCCATCCCCTTACCCCCTTCACTCCGCCATTCCGGAGAAACTAGCAGGACTTCGCAGACATCTATCTTTTTTTGGCAAAGTCATATGGAGGCAAGGAACGGCTAGTATATGGCGAGGGCGCTAAGGAAGTTCAGAGGATGTGAATAAGGAGAGGCGCGTCGCCATGTTCGAAAAACTTCATCCAGCGACAGGATGCACCCCTGATTTCGGGTCTTTGACGACGCCGATCTATTGAGAAGCTCCATCGTAGCAAAGGTTTGCACCATTTGCGGCTCTACTTGCACCTTAGCTTTTGTGCTGGCATCTTTTCCACCGACTTTTTTCTCCTTGGGCACATTTAACTGAAGATTGTCCTCACGGTGGATTCGACCTCCCCAACATGATTATCGCATCCGCTCGCTCGCCGTTGTAATGCCTGCCCGCGCAAGGACTGAACATCGAAACATAAACAATTTGAATTTGGTGCCAAGCATCAGGGGTGGAAGAAAAGGGCGTACGTGCTCGACACACCGCCTGCCTCCCACCTAAGTGTCCCTGGCACCCTACGCCGAGAAATAATAGATCAAATTCCTTTGCTAAGGAGACTGAGCCTTATTAAAAGGGATCCTTACGGCAGACAGCCAGAGAGGGTCTTTTCTTGCGTTCTCGTGTCGTTGTAACTGCTTCAGCATACGCCTGCACCCCGCGCTACATGCGCCTTGGTCAAACAGGCACGTGTGTCTCCCCTGCGACGTGAGCGTCAGGTAGTTTCAGGTCATGCGAAAGTGACACTTGTGTTAAAGAGGTCGAAGTAACCCGCAGTAGCGCGCAGTTTGGTGACGGGGGGCATTTTGCACTTTTGCTACTTCCCATCGACGTGTCGACCTATCTAGACAGCCTCTTCTCGAGTTGACAGGTTCTTAACATGATGGCTCATGACCTTGCTCCAGCTTCACAAGAGTTCACAGGTTTCGCCAGAGCGAGACTTGTAAACCGGAACTAAGGACGCAATGATAGTACAAAATGCCCCCCCCCCCGTCGCCAAATAACGCTAACCCCTGAGTAGAAGTTCGCAGCGAAGGCGATCTCCGACTGAAGCAGATGCGATCATCATGTTCTAGAGGCAAACTACCATTGGAAGTTTTTAGGCAGCTGTGCTCAAGTTTAAGAAAGTTGGTACAAAACTCGCCTGATCTGGGAAAACTGGGGCTGTAAAGGGCAAATAGTGCTCATAAAGCAGTAAATAGTTTCACTTACCGTCATTAAATTGAAGCGATGGGGTGGCGTTGATCGAGCGTCGGCTATCGGCGACAGGTCATCAATGGCCACTTCCATTTCGGGTCCTGCTGGCAATGCACCGGCTGATGAACCTTCGGACTGAAATTATCGTCTATTCTGAACATAACAATGTCATAGTAGATGACAAATTGGCTATACGGAGCATTTGCACCTTTGGTATAGGATCTACTCACTATAAAAGGTTTCACCTTGAACCGTCGATATTCTGAATCCTTCCGTGACGTCTGGTCCTCTTGTGGACAAGGTGTCGAAAGGGATTGTTGCAGCCGACATTCAGACGTAGCCGTCTGAAAACGTCGGGAAAAAACTTAAGCCATCATGTTTACTGAGCGATCTGAATGCCCTACACAAACCACAATTGTGTTGTCCCCCCTTGCTAACCCACTGCTCTATTGAGCACCATAGATCAGGATCATCCGTGCGGTACAAGAAGCAGATGAGTCACAAAAGGAGCCACTTGCAATTGTGTGAGTACAGATTGGGTTTTATGACGAAACAGCTGAACAACACGGAGAGTTCACAGGGGGACCAGCCATTCAGTGGACATTGTAAGCAAAACCGAATTGATGACTATTGTGAACAGGGACAGGACACGTCCTGCAGAAGGGGGACATTTTTGCAAAATACGACCTCATCAAGATCCCCTCTATCTGGTACGACCCTCCTTCTACATTCTCCACTCTACCTACCATCTTCCTACTGTTTCCGATTTTCTGCAAATTTTCCGGTTTTTCTCCAAAAAATCGCCGTCAAGCGCAGGGAGAGATAAGCGCACTTGAAACAGGAAAAACTGAAAAATGTCGATAACTGAAAACATTTTCCACAAAAGCAAATATGATTCTCTCCCTCCAGCGACCTACGACTCCCTCACTGGGGACCTCCAATCTACGGCGTGCCCTAATTGTAGAGATTGGGGTCTGGGAGCGCAATGAAACCTCGGTTCTGAGGCTAAAGCTTTGAAATTGAAGCTTCTGTTTGTTCCACTTTTTTCGGAGTGCGCCATGCATTCTACTTCCACTCAAAAACGTAGCTGCTTCGGATTCAACGTGACGCAGTCCGCTTTCGGTGGAAGAAACAAACGTGAATTAGGCAAGGGTAGCTCTAATACGTAAACTGGTCATAGGTGATCCCTCCTCGGGACTGAGACGTTTCCTATAAGCTTATCAG